CGCCCACCGGGTACGGCGCGGGCTGCCCCGCCGCCCCCTCGTGTCTCTGGCGGCCGCGCAGCGCGGGAGCGCGTCCAAGTCTCTGTCCCCTCCTCTCTGCAGGTGACGAGCGAGAAGCTCTGCCGGGCCCAGCAGGAGCTGCACTTCCAGGCGGCCACGTACCTGTGCCTGCTGCGCAGCGTGCGGGAGCACCTGGCCCTTCACCACGAGTACCACGGCAAGGGGGAGCGCTCGCCCGACGAGGTGGCAGGGCTCGTGGGCTTCAGGCTGCCGCAGCAGCCCGGAGGAAAGGGCTGGGATTCATAGGAGCGCAGGCGCTCAGGAGGCCCCCGCGTGAGGACTTCACAACGGCTGTTACGTGTGCTATTTATCTGTGAATAAAGATGCTAGGGAGTGTGGAAACTGCCTAGCTTTCTAGCTTACGCTTTCTCTTGGTTTTAGGTGAGCTTCAAATAATCCATAATGGGAAATCCCTCTCTACTGACCAAGCACACCCAACCCACCACTAGATCTGAGTATCTGGTGTGACAGGCAACCTCCAGAAATGGAGGAGGGCTATGTACAAGGAGGAAAAAAATGCTTTTGAAAAGAATGATTTCTTTAAACAATTTTGATAAATGCAAAGGTAAGAGGATCTGTGTGTCGCCTGTGGGATTTTTCTGTCACGTTCTCTGTGTAGCAATCCTTCCATTTTTCCAAGAGTAAAACGCCTTTCATTGAAGGTGCTAGCAGATCTCTTTGTCTTGAAGATTGTTTTCTGTAGTGGTGAGCTAGTGATTAATAGTTGAAAGCGAAAAGTACTGCTTAATGAATTACAAATTCCTGAGGGTTTAGGAATGGCTTACTCTAATACAGCAGGCTTCCTGTTCTAATACTTTGTGTGTTTTGGAAAGCATTTCTTTAAGCTATGAACTGAATGCTTGTGCTGTGGATTTTAAAAAATTAAGGTACTGTGGACTGAAAATTCTGGTAGTTTTTGCAGAATCCCACCAGGTGAACAGCAGTGGTGTTATTTTGAAAAAATGTGATGGAAAAGTACCAATTTGTTAGTAGTTGACCTGATCAAAGTTGCTGGGAGTCAGCATACCCAGAAAATTGGTAAAATATCTTTGATATTGTGAGATGCTTTACTTAAAAGTAATTGCTACATTCTGCCCTTCATCTTTCCAGTGGGCTGAAGTCCCTCGTCCAAAGCCTTGCGTTCCAGATGAAAATGCACAGCTTGCTGAAACCAAAAGCTGAAGTTTGGGTTGAGATACACAAGATGGAGCAATCTTTGCTCTTTAAAGAGTACCTAAAACTAAAGGTTTAATGGTTTAGGGATAAATGATGGCTAAACTTTCTCCATTTTTCCTAAAAAGAATAAGGTGTTAATAGAAATAAATTCAACTGCGATCTATTTGTTAGTGCTACATGCTCTGGGTGTCCCTGCTTGAGCAGGGGGTTGGACTAGATGATCTCTAGAGGTCCCTTCCGGCCTCAACCACTCTGTGATTCTGTAATTTCCACATGATGCAAAACAATACAGTGACTAACAAAAGACTACTTATATATTAAAGGATAAAATGTTTTGAATGGTTGAGGAACACTGAAGACTGTGTTTTGTTATTCCAGACTGTTTTTAAGCACTGCATCTTCTTTGCAAATTCTTGTTAAAGTCGGTTACTTTTGGCCGATTTTATAGGGTTTTTTGTTTTGTTTTGTAGGAGGTAATGTAAGGTAATCTTAATAAACCCAAGTGTTGAGCACCATGGGAATTGATCTCTGTTTTGCAATTGACTGCTTTTGGGCACTAGGTGGCAACACGGTGGTTACGAGGACAACCGCAAAACGCATGACTTAATTTCGCAACTTGCATCCTCCCCATTTTGTCTAACGGGTCTTGCTGTTCTGGAAACGTAACTGGATCCAACGAACAACAGTTCCTTCAGTTCTAAGGGCGGTTCTCTAAAAACTTGCTATTGTATTAGCTTTTCAGCGTCAACTGTAATGAAGCTGCTCCGTTTTAATCCCCGCCGACAGAGAGCGCCCAGGGACCCCGCCGGGCCGCGATG